GCTAATAAAACCCCATGTCAAAAAATTTAAAAAAGGGGTGGGGAGGGGCTGTGTGAAACACTGAGGCACCCTGCTATTAAGGTCGAAGTCTGGCATTTCCGGATAACCTCTGAGCCTCATCTATGAAGATGGACTCCCTTTCTCAGCAGGGTTCCCTCTTTGCCTCCTGATCTGGGGAACCCCAGGTCCCCTAAGGAGCATTACATAGTCCTCAGGGAAATTTACAGGCCTTACCCTTTCCTGATAAGAAACCTGTTCAGCAAGCACATGGGGATTCCTGGAGACACCTATCCTATACTAATAAGATGTCTTGACTTTCAACCAATGACCTTTAACTGTGTGGAGATTTTCCACCACCCATAGGATAATTAAGTACTGCTTTCCCTTCTTATGATAAGGCTGTTTTATTACATGTAGATTAAGTATCCCTGATGTCCCTAGCCCCAGCAAATTAAACACATTCACCTTCAAAAACCCTCCCACTGGCCAAGGTTTGTAAGTCCTTGATTCATGAAATAGAGTGTCACCCCATTTCTCCACCATGATTGCCTGAGACTCATCATTTACTCTGAGGAAGGGAGTGTTCCCCTCCCTGGAAATACAGCGCTGAATTCCCCTACTGAATTCCTGGGGCTTGGCTACTGGATAGGACAGCGATACTACTTTGGTCACCTCTGGAGCCTGCCTGACAGCTGACTACAGGTGAATGTTGACCCGCAAAAGCACCACCTGTCTGGTTCTGGCTGGCCAGTCCTGTACCTCACCGTACCTACCTTCAAGGCTGCCATGCCAACCAGGCACAGCTTTTGCCCTCACCCCTGCCACTAATACAGTGGTTTAACCTAAGCACTGTAACACTTTAGTATCATCACAGGCTCTTGGAAAGTCTCAGTCGCCTGCCTGCCGTCTGGTAGCAGCAATCTCATTTTAAAAGAGCTAACTGTAACACCTAGTAGAAAACTCATTTCCACCTCCCCTGGTGAGATGAGCCCTGCCTGGCGCAAGGGCCTCGACATAGTGGTTCCTGATCCCCGGGATTTGGCTGTTCCTGTCTGGAAGCAAACAGGGTCTGAACTGATCTGTTTCCAGCCCGGCAGTCCCAGCGGTAATCTCCCCACAGACAGCCCAGGCTACCGACAGATAAAGAAAAAATGTCTCAGCAGGTACAGACTTACCATCAAGATTGACATAACTGCTAGGAACCATATGGTAGAATAAGAGAACTGATACCCACATAAGTGCCATGACATTTCTACCACACACACACATCAAACCTAGAAAAGCAATTTTTTTTTCTATAAAAAGTAAAAAACCCATAAATTGTGTGTACTCAAATGGACATTATCTAAATGGGATGAAGGTGAAGTTCACTTTTATAACAGAGAGCTTTACAAAACAAGATTTAAGTTTATGTAGCTAAGCATGAACAATTTAGTGAGGAAAAGTAACTAGAAAAATTACTTTTAATTAGAAAAGTAAATCTGTGGGGAGTGGAAGAAAATACTCCTAAATCAGGTTTTTGTGTTTCAATTACACCATTTATTGATATAGCAATAAGGTATATATGCACAATTATGTTTTTCCTAGTTTGTATCCATTTTCTTTTTTTGTTAAGTCTATATTCTATTAAATTTATCCTATTTATTTACTGTGCATATATGTGTGTATACGTGTGTAAAGGTAGAACTTCAAGAGGAATTGGTTCTCTGCTTCCACCATGTGGGTCCTAGAGATTAACTAAGATTAAGTTTGGCAGCAAGAGCCTTTACTCACTGAGCCATCTCACCAACTCATTTGTTTCTATTTTGATTAAAATATATACAAAAAAGAGTAACAGACGCTTCAGAAACATATATTATCTGACATAAATCACTTGTGATTTATTTACATTTTGTTTTGTTTGAGGATTTTTGAGACATAGTCTCACTATGTGGCCCAGACTGATCCTGAACTGATAATCCTGCCTCAGCCTCCCAAGTGCTGGGATTATGAACATACGCCATTGTGACCATATCAGGTAAATTTTTTTAATTGCTTTTTATTTTTAATCACATGCATGCAAATGTGGGGGGGGGGTATATGCCTATGAATGCAGTTTCCCATGGAGCACAAAAGAGGGCATCAGCTCCTCTGAAATTGGACTTGAAAGCTGTAGGCTGTTTGATACAGATGCTGAGAATAGAATTCTGGTTTTCTGTAAAAGCAGTACATGGGACCAGCCTCTATTAATTTTTGTTGTTTTGGTTTGGTTTTTGAGACAGAATTTTTCTGTGTAGCCTTGGCTGTCCTGGACTCACTTTGTATACCAGGCTGGCCTCAAACTCTTAGAGATCTGCCTGGCTCTGCCTCCCTGAGTGCTGGGATTAGAGGCATGCTCCACCATGCCTGGCTTCTATTAAATTTCTAATGAAAAGTTTGCTTTGATTCAGTAGCTGGATATAACTAACCAAGAACCCCAATTATCCACAACCATTGAAATAGAATTACTATTAACAAGTTTAGTGACAGGCTCATGACATTTATAAATGACTCACTATAGTATTAAAATCTCCTAAACTTACAAGTGAATTTCCTTAATGTGACAGTAAACAGAAAATTCTATATTCTCCTAAAAACCTACGTGCCTGGGAATTTGAAATGTTAAGAGCATTCACTGTTGGCTTTTTAATACCAATATGGCTGCTTAATCCTTCTGTAACTCTAGTTCCGTAAGATCTGACATCCTCTTCTGGCCCCCTGAAGTACCACACACATATGGTACACATATGTAATATACAAGCAAAACATCTGTACGCATAAAATAAAATCAATCTTTAAAAAAAATACATATTCATAAGACAGGTCTTTAGGATATAAGCATCAAGACTAAAATTTTAAAGACACAAAGATAAAGTTCCAACGAGACTTGTAGTCAATACTAATGACAGTTTCTCAAAACAATCTTATGGAATAGCATATATGCAAAGCTAGAACAATATCCTGGACATAAATGAAATCTGAGCTTTATTTTTGTGTTACTGTTGTCGTTTTATCTTTTAAGATGGGGTTGCATTATGTAGCTCTGGCTAGCCTGGAACTTACTATGTAGACCAGACTGGCCTGAAAATTAACAATTCTCCTGCCTCTGCCTCCAGACTGGCGGGATTAAAAGCATGTGCCATCACAGGATCAGGAATTCTAACAAATTCCACAAGGAAACAAAAGTTGTCTCCATAAAGAAGATACAACTAACATATAAGATATGTTAAGCATAAGCTTTATAACTGAAAATTACCAAACAAGCTTCTTTCCTATGAAGAAAATAGTTATTTCAAACCAATAAACTGTAAATGGCTATGTTTTGGACTCAAAATTTACCTCTATGGAATCTGCCTTATGCTCATTTTTCCTTCATTAAAAAGCAGTATGGAAAAAACATTACAACATATATGACAAGAAACAAGATTCACATGAAGACAGCATAAATACATGATTTGAGTATGTAACTAGTTACCTGAGCTATTATTCTGGTAAAAAATACCCAGAGAAATGAACATACAGGAAATATATTTAAGAAAACGAAGAGGCAGGCAATGGCCTCTGTTTCAAACTCCTCCTATAAAACTACAGAATTTGATAGGGTCAATAACTGATCTTCTCTCTTCCCTTAAAGAAAAATAAAAAATCTCAGAAAAAGTTCATAAACGGTTTGGCTCATTCTAATGGCTAACCTAAGCACATAAGCCTAGGTTCAAACATACGTGTCATTCTTTTAAGAGCCAAAAGATTGAAAAAAAGAAAACACACATCTTTAATCCAAGCACTTGGAAGGCAGAGGCAAGCAGATCGCTGAGTTCAAGGCCAGCCTGGTCTACAGAGTACTTTCCAGGATGGCCAGGGCTACTCAGAGAACATCTGTCACAAAAACCAAAACACAAACACACACAAAGGAAAAACGGATCTGTTTTAAAATATTTTAATGGCAAATCAGGGCCACAGTTTAAAATTGAGCTAACTGTGTTTAAACATTGTGACAGTCTAAGAAACTGAACTTGAAAATTAAAATGCATTTAAAAATAAACATAATCTAAACGAAAATCTTATTTTATGATTTCTGCGTACCGACTACACAGTAAAGAAAAATAATTTCAAGTTCTTACTAATATCCACAGTGTTAGTGTGGTAGATGGGCTCTCTCCAAAGAGAGCTTGGACTCCTAAGGAACAGCCTCTCAATGTCTCTATTTTAAATAAATCTGCTATCTTAAACACAATCGTCCATTAATTCATACCTGGCCCAAGATACCTTTTTCTTTTTCTTCAAAAAAGAGTGTCCTGTGTTTAAAGGCGACAGGTAACCCTTTCGGATAAGTGCTGTCGGTTTTTAAAGTAACTACTACTTCCTATACATTCGACTTTTTGCCTTCTTCTAGAATACGGCTTTCTCCCCTGCCCTGCAGCTAAAAGTCTGGGTTCCTGAATGACGCCTGGATCCTTCACCCTTGTCCAGCCCCAGATGGTTCCCCCAATTTCACCACCGCGCGGGGTGGCCCCTGAGTGCCGAGCGCGAACCCCCTGCGGCTGGCGCTCGCTAGGCACTGTCACTCGGGAGCAGGCGTGGGCCCGAAGCGGGCGAGTGCGAGAGTTCACGCGACGCCGTGCTGCGCAGGGGGCCCGGGCAGGCCCGCAGGGCAGCTGTGGCTGAGCCGGAAGCTGGCCGCGGGCCTCCGCCGGTAACAGGCAGGGCAGGAAGGAGAGGGCTCGCCGCGGCGGGCGGCCCGGGCCCCGCGACGGCAGCGCCCCGCGCGGAACCCCCGCCCCGGCCTGCAGGGAGAGCGGGAGCCGGCGGAGGGAGCAGCCGCCGCCTCAGCCCGGCCCAGCGGGGACCCGCCCAGGGGCCACTCCCCAAGGGAGACAGCCAGTCACTCGCCCGCCCCGCCGGGCCCTCTGGAGGGGACGGACTCCCGCCCGCCCTCGCACCGCGCCTCGCGCCAGGCCCCCAGGGCTTCGGCTACCTCTCACCTTTGACGACGCGGTCGGCCCCAAGAGGGGGCGGCGGGGGCGGGGGCGGGGGCGGCGCGGCCCGGGCCGGCTCCGGGGCTGCCATGCTGGGCCCGGGGCTCGGCTAGGTGCCGGGACGGGCGGGGTTGGGGGCGGGGGCGGCGGCTACCAGAGCCAAGCGGCGGCGCCGCCGGGGAACATGGCGGACCCTTTCCCTTCAGAGGGGCTAAGACCGTCATGCACCGCGCGTGCGGGGGCGGGACAGGCTCCAGGGACCTGAGTAAAATTACTGAAGCTACTACAGGAACCGGAGGAGGCCAAGGGATCAGCTAAAAATTCCTTGCACACCAAAACACGTGACAGTAAAGAGAGGGTGCAGACTAGATTTAAGGGCTGTGATGAATGCAAGAAGGACATTTTTCTAGCCTCCTTGGAGTCCAGGAAAATACAGACATGTAGTTAGATCTCAGACTTTCTCACTACTAGATAAATATATGACAAATTATCTACAAAACCTGTGTGATAATGTTATGACTGGACACAAGAATGAAAGAAGCACTGGAGACTAAAGAAGTGCCACTGTCATTTAAAATGGAATTTGCCCTTTAATGCAATACCTCAGGAGGCAGAACTCTGAGTTCTAGTCTAACTAGGTCTAAAAGGTCAGGGTAACAAAGTGAGACTTTGTCTCACAAGGGGGTGGGGGCATATAATTCTGACCCTTGCTTTTAGAGTTTGGAAGAGTCTAAAGGGACATAAATTCAGCTGAAAAAGTCTGGTTCCTAAGTTAGGAACCAGAACCAGTCAGGGGAAGTGAGGGAATCAAACCAAGAGATATTCAAAAAATCTAAGATTCACCTGGAAAAAGGTCATGGCCTCTCTCTTAATTCACTCAGAAAATAGATTTGAGCCCAGAGAGATATAGTTCAATGAATAAAGGTGCTTACTGCCAAGGACTGTGACCTAAGTTCCTTGATGGAAGGAGACAATGGAAGAAGGAATAGATTCCTTCAAGTATGACCTCTGCTAAAACTTGTTTAAAAAAAACAAAAAAGTATATATAATTGGAAAAATTGGAAAGCACAGACTAGGTAGGTAGAAAATTGAAAGCTAGTTCCTTATCTTTGTGTATACACAAATTTTGAGCCTGGGCAACTTATAGAAGCAGATCCAAGTTAACCAGCATCCATGAGGTCAGGAAACAAGAACAGACTGTTCCATCAGTAACATCTTAGTTATTGTAAGATGGCTCAGATAGTAAAGGCATATGCCACTAAACCCCATGATGGAACCAGAGGGTACACAAGGTGGAAGGAGAGCACCAACTCCCACAACTTAATCCTTTGACCTTCATGTGTGTAACTCATAAATATACAAAGTAACTACAACTTCTAGAAAAGACTAGAAGAGTGTGAAACACCAGATATGTTGAAAGGTTCAGGGCTAGCGTATCTACTAAGGCCCATGTGTCTACATGTTGTAGGATGCAAATAGGACAGAGCAAGAAAGTTCTACATGTCCTATTACTCAATAAAATATGTGCTGAGAATCTGTCCAAGAATCTTTTGTTTCTTTGTGTCAACCAATGAGCCTGAGATCTGGGATAAATAAGGAGAGAAAACCCAATGGACATTCGTTGCAAAGGGTACCTACAAAATAATTTGATTTTGTGTATCTATGTGTTTTGCCTGCACAAAAGCCTGTGCACCATATGCTTTCAGTCCCCATGGAGGGCAGAAGAGGAAGTTATATTCCATGGAACTGGAGCTATAGAAGGTTGTGAACTGCCATGTGGGTGCTGGGAACTGAACCTAAGTCCAATTTAAACCTAAGTCTCTTAAACACTGCACTATCTTCAGCCACTACAAAATACCTTTTAAAGGAAAGACACTTTCGGGATCGTGTCCTGGATAAGGCTAGATCTCATCACAGAGATGTCCTAACTCTTTTGGGGAAAGGAAGAGGACCCTAGGGAGAGGGCAAGGGAGGGAAGGCACCTAACAAACCTGTAGCCAGGAAAAGCACCAAGAGTGGTGTTTATACCAGGAGTCAGTCTGTCGGAGTAATCTGAATGGCCAGAAAATTTCCTTAGTCAGGGGAAGAATGAAGTATGTAATGTATTGAGTGTCCCAGGCAGGAAAGGGATAGTTAACACGCTAGCATCCATACAAAAAGAAAAAGACTCAATTAAGGATATATTGACTCCAACAGTGAGTGTATATTTTTCAACTCCTCTTTGGTGAGTCACTTTCACTTGGTCAAAAGCCATTTCATATAAATGTCCAGGCCTCCCTACCCCAGAAGAAAAGAACATACAAAAGTGAAAGACAAGAGATTAAATAGAACTATCTGATAGATTTATTAATGAAAAATACTTTACAAAAACAGTATGCTTTGCCCTAAAATAGATGAGCCAACTCTGAGCGTTTACATGGTGACTAAGCGCATGGCAGTAATGGCTCTGCTGCTGAGGGCAGGAGGGTATTTTAGCGTGCCCAACTCCATCTGTTCAAAGGGCAAATATATTGGCAGCTCCACATTCTAGGCCTAAAGTCTGAGTCACAAGGAAGGCTGGCAGATCATAATACCTTATGGATGTGGTCAAAATCCTGACTACAGGGATACATATCCCTCTCCAGTGCTAGAAGGTAGGGAAGAAAAAGTTAGGTTACAGCGACAGGTGAATAAACAAAGAGGTTAAGTTGGGAATATAGTGGAGACCGAAATATGGGGGCTCAGATTGGGGGCATAAAAGTACCAGGAATAAAATGACTTTAAACACCAAGGAATAGTTAAGTGTCCAGAATAATAAAAGAGGCTCAACTTTAAAGTAGCTCAAATGAAGCCGTATGCATCAGCTGCTTCCTTTTGCTAGAGGAGCCAAAGTTTGAGCTTTCTTTTTTATTTAGTTATTTAGTTATTTTTAAAGCCACCATAGGGTCTTATGTAGTCCGGACCTGCCTACAGCTTGCTATGTAGCCAAGAATGAACCTGAACTTCCGATCTTCCTGCCTTCACCTCCAAGTGCTAGGATTAGAGTTGTATACCAACATGACCAATTTTATACACAGTGCTAAAGATATAACCCCAGGCTTTGTGCATGTTAGGAAAACACTCTACCAACTGAGCTACATCCCTAGCTTCTAAAGCTGTAATTTCAAAAATCCCCTCTTGAGGAAGCAAACACCCTTAAGAAAACCAATCATTCTTTTGTTGTGGTTGTTCTGTTTTTAACGCACAGTCTCGTCTCTGACCATGACCTGCTAATTCTCTGGTCTCTACCTCCCAACTGCTGGGATTACAGGCATATGATGCCTAAGCTAAAATGGCCAATTCTATGTTGAGATGAGACTAGCATAATTGGCAAGATGAAAGGTATCACTCTGCCATAGTACAGTTTTATAGAGAAAGGTGTAGCTCCAGGAAAGGTTAAGGATGACCATTACCACCTGCTGTGCTGTAAAAATCTCACTCTGTTCTGCTCTCTTTCAGGGGCATTTGATAGAACAAACATAATTCTCTCTTCGCCTGTCACCCTATGCCTATACTGGGAGGGATATTTGCTCTGTCTCCAGTCATCATCTGGGGGCATATCTATTCTTCGAGGACCAGGTGTTCGGGACCCCAGAACAGGACCTGAATTCCAAGCTGACCTAAGGGGTACATGAAGATTGCTGGATGGTGGGGACACTGGGTGAACAGCAGAACGATGGGAGGGTGAATGGGAAAGATTCCCCCAGGAATGAGCATGAGGAATCTGAAGGCCCTGGTGTCTTTCTGGTATTGTGGCAATATAGGTTAGCTGAGGCTTGCATGCTGGCATAGTTAGGACTCTGGCCCCAACATGCTGGTTGATCTCTGACCCTGGTCCCCAGGAAACATCAGTTCTGGAACGATGAGGTAGACTTCGGTAGTTCAAAGTCCTTCCTGTGTACTTGACCCCTTGGGGAGTTTCATCCCTGTCACACATAGCCAGAAACTGTTGGACACTCCTCGAAGTTCCTGAGAAGACAAAAGAAACCCAAAGACTGAGCATCTTTAGAAAATAATTCTCCTTCCTAAAGGACGATTCCTGAATATTTTTGCCCAACTCTAAAGACACAAGAGAAAAAAAGAAACCAAGGCTTGATATGTATGTGTGTGCATATGTGTGTGTGTGTGTGTGTGTGTGTGTATGTACATACAAAAACATACATATATACACACATTTTTAAGACATTTTTTTTCAGTATTGGGCCAGTATTGAACCCGGGGCCTTGCACATGCTAGGCAAGCATTCTACCATTAAGCTATAGCCTTAGCCCTAAAAACCCCTAAATATTCCATCAAAATCAATCTCTTTTCTTGTGGGAAAAGGAAACAGTCTCTTAGATTTTGCCATACCTACCTCCACTGTAACCCTTCTCTAACACACGCTCATGCACACACATGTATGAATGAATGTGTGCACAAGGATGGCTACTTAATAGAAAAACATATTCCCCCGGCAGACTCCTACAGCAATTACACTAAATCTCTCTTGGGTTTTCTTATCTTTTTTTTAATTTGTATTTTATTCTTTTCTGGGGGAGTGTTGAAACAAGGTTTCTCTGTGTAGCCTTGGCTTTCCTTGAACTCACTCTGTAGACCAGGCTGCCCTCAAACTCACAGAGATTTGCCTGCCTCTGTCTCCTGAGTGCTGGGATTAAAGACATGCACCACTCCTGCCTAGATTTGTTTGCTTGTTTGTTTGTCTGTCTGTTTTGGCTCACTCGGCTTCTCTTAACATGGTGCCTTCACTGTCGTTAGGGAGCCGCTACTTAAAGCTTTATTCAGTTTCTGAGATCTCCACTTTTGTTCATAGCACCCTTGCATCGTATACAATGTGGAAAGCCTCTTCTGTACACTTCTTGTGCTCTGGCACTGTGGCGCAGTGTGCTGGTGATTCTTCACTAAGGTTCACATGGTGCCCTGTGCACTGCATGATGTTTCAAAGCATCTTTGTCCAACACCCACCAAGTACCAGTAATATGCCCTCTCTCCCCATTGAGAAATGTAAAACATAAGTGAAACCCGTAAGGGGTAAAAGAAGAGCATCTTCCTATGGAGGTCAATGAAAGCCAGAATAGTGCTGCCCATCTTCGTCCCGACTGTCTGGGTTTGTACGTATGACACGGGTTGTCAAGGTAC